GTACTCCTTTCAGTGACAAACACTGCCATAGAACCTCACGATCAACAGAGTCAAATGCTCCCTAAAGGTCGAGAAATACTACCATTGTGGGGCGTCTGAATGTGTGTCTGTGTTCTAGAACCTGACGTAGTGTGAATATCTGATCGATACAACCACGTCCAGGTCGAAAACCAGCCTGGTTTTCTCTAATCTGCTCTTCACGAGCTTTCATTAGGCGTCGAAGTATTATTGAGGCTAATATTTTAGACGCTATATTAGTCAAACTGATTCCTCTGTGATTGTCACAAGAGGACTTTTGTCCTTTCTTAAAAACTGGCACAATCAGTGATTGAGACCAGTCGTATGGGATTACGTCCAGTTCCCAAATTCTACCTATGACCTCGGTTAATCTCATTGCTAATACTGGACCACCATCCTTAAAAATCTCAGGAGTAAACCTGTCAGGGCCTGCTGCTCTCCCTCGTTTCAGATTTCCTATGGCTTTTTCAACTTCATAAAGAGTCGGAGGACCTATATTAACTTGCCATTCAGGTTGACTGGAGATCGTGGGAAACCGAAGTGTGGCTGAAGGCCAGTTGAACTGATCCCTGAAGTGTTCTGCCCATCGATCCAATCTCCTGGATTGAGAATATATAATATGTCCATCTTTCTCTGAGATTGTTTTGCTAACGGTCGGGTTCCTAATTCCGGTTTCCTTAACAAGTCTGAACAATTGTCTGCTATTACCTATTGCCGCTGCCTTTTCCATCTCTCTTGCTTTCAATACCCACCACTGTTTAAAGTTAGTGTTTGCAAGAAAAACGCGGTTATCTTAGCATAGATGCAACAGACAGTCGCCATTATCTGTTCTCTGAGCCGCGACACCATAAGATCCACCCAGGTGTCTTTCTTTTCCGCTTAGTTTGCCTACTTGAGCATTAAAGTCACCAGCCACTATTACTACATCAGGGCGTCTAGCATTTCGTCTGCCCTAGCGGTGCGAGGTGAAAAAGGGACGTGACAAGGGTTAGTCGTGGAGATAAGAGGGTTGTCAGGAGGTGTGTGAAGGATTTGAATGTGACCGACTTGGTCTCGTGTGCTGTAACGGGTATGAGGGCTGATATCACTTCCCGGCTGCCCACACCGTGGAAGGGTATTTCTTGAAGAACCTGAAAAGGAAGTCGGATTAGTGATGGTCTTAACGATCTGGGAGCGTGACCACAGAGCCCAAGGGACAACTGCTTGAGGACGGTCGCGCACGGCCTTTTTGTGGAGGTTTTTAGTGTGTTAGCTCCGTTATCCACAGGGCCTTAACGCTGGAGACGGAAATCCGTGAGGTATGACATTTTTAGGGTCGACCTTTTCTAACCCCTTCCTTCCTTCCTTGTGAGAAGACAGCATCGCTGCAGATGCTGGTTGTCTGAAGGAAACACCTTACTGTTGTCACACCTCTGTACAGTCAGCAGTACGACTTCGCCCTCAGACCTTGAGTTGCCGCCTTTAATCTTACCGTTCTCCAATCGACCTGCCTGGCATGGTAGAACCTACAGGAACATATGTTCCAGCCAATATAGCTCGGTCGGGTCATCACGATAGACAAGCCCCACCACCGCGTCAAGGTAGCAGCTATGGTCGGGCCTGACAACTGATACGAACACCTCAGGTAGAGTAAAAGCTTACGACTAGCTCTACTCACTATCGAATTCCAGCAGTGCTGTTATGGGGGGTTGTTCAGCCTCACCACTCCTTTTCAACTTTGCTACCTATGACATTCTGTAAATAGCTGTAATAAAAGTAGGTCGCGGTGGTGTAAATTTGTTGCTTGAAGAAAAACTTTCCGATCTTGAGTATAGGTATTGTCTTGTTTTAATTCCGATAAACTTCAACCTATGGAAATCACACTTAATGATTCAGCATTTAGTGTCCGTAAGTGTGACATGTACTTTGCATCTTAGTGCAGAGTGCGTCTGAAAGACTGGGTGTGTGTTTTTGGTCGATTAATTGATAAAAACAAGGAAGTTTACGTCAATGTGACCCATCTTTAGCGTCGTTGTGATGCTAGTCTGGATGTAAAATGTCGCGTCTGTTGCAAGTCAGCGAGACCAGTCCTTCCCTACTCTTACGAAGTCTGGCCTTTCTAAGCTGAGCAAGCACAGAACTCAGTAGCAACATGTGTTAATTATACTGAAATTAGACTATATGTGTTTGCAAATAGTACTGATGGCTCAGTTGTTGCCAGCATCTTAAAACACCGGCTTTGGTGGCTTGGACTTGTGTTACAAATGTAACCCCAGGAAATTCCTTATTGTTCAACAATTGCCAACCATAAGATGATGTAGAAAGAGCGAAGAGTTGGTCGTTTTACGATATGGTGCTGTGGTATGAGAAGCCGTACAGGACTGGCATCTGTCAGTCCATCACGACTCCCTGGTTAGGGTCTTAGGATTGGTGCAGCTCAGTGGTTTGAAACATTGTCAGACATGGATCAAAATAAAAACCAATGGAGATCATTGCGGTAGTTTGCTTTTGAATTCTTGATAAAAGATTGAAGGAACTCTCTTTGCTTGTGTTTCCGGCTGGATTGCACCATCATATACTAGTCTCATTCACTTTTATTATTTGATTTGTTTCTGACTATACCCCTTAATCTTCATATTTCCCGTTCCTTACTTTTTTGGCGTATATTTGGTTTTGTTGCCCGGTTGCCACAGAAAGCATTTATATTAAAAACGTCGCTTCAAACACCAACACTTTGTCTAGTAAGCTACTGACTCCATAACAAACACGACAATAACCTATGACCTAAGGCCTTATCGTTGCAATCCACTCAAAATTCACAGCTGACAATGGAGACTCGCCAGTTGCAGTTTTGGGTATCAGCAATGGAACATTAGAAAGCTTCAGTATTACTTATATGCCCTGTGTCATATGTAAACGTCTGACCACCGGCCGTTGCCGCTTTCTTCACGTAGTGGTCAGACTTCCCCATCGTGATGAACCAATCGAGCTGTACTGGCTGGAACAATCGTTCCCCAAGGTCCTACCACGCCAGACAGGTCGGTTAAAGAACGGTAAGACTAAAAGCAGCAAACCTAAGGTCCGGGAGCGAAATCGCACTACTGACTGTACAGAATTGTAGTGGCAGTAAGGCGATTCCTTCAGGAGATCAGCAAAACGGCGATTATGCACTCCCACAAGTAGTAGAGGGGTTAAAGGCGGTCGACTCTAAACATGCAAACCTCGCCTTCTCCCACGGATATCCGTTACCGGTGGTAAGGTATTAACAATAAAGAGCTAACATGAAAATTACTCACGAAAACGTTATGTGCGAAAGACCCCGAGCGATTATCCTTTTAGCACTGCAGTCATGCTCTCAAGTCACAGAGGTGGCCCCTAACACAATTGTCTTTTCAGGTATTTCTGGAAGAATCAAAGCCTATTAATTGCTGACTTTTTCATTCAACATTTTTAAAGCATCCATAATAAAGAATATAAGATTTGTATTCATAGCCGTTTGCATGAACTGAAATAAATACTTAAAGGTTCTGTTAAACTGTGGAAAGTATTTTGGTTTACCGCTACTTCGGTATGTTGACAGTCTAAAGACTGATAGGCGAACCAGAGACTTGATCTACATGATGGTTCAAAATGTAATAAACACTACAAATGCCGATCGTGCAAAGACGCTAATTGTGAGTGAAGTGCCGTTTATTGAATGAGTGTTACAATTATGCGGTCTTACTGAGAGATCAGTATAAGAATGAAAAGATAATGTTTTATAACTGATTTCTACCTCACTTTCATTATTGTTATGATTTATAGGCGCCACTAATATCATGTGACAAAAAACAATTCAGAATCTTGATTTCTATCACTTAGCTTCTAAGCCAACCAAGACTCGTAGCTTTGATTCACTGCCAATTCCATATTGGTCACCGATACGGTAGCTTCTCTTCCTGCTCTGCCCGTTGAGTCCAGAACAAATTAACCATCCTCCACCACACAAATATTGTTTCAAGCATGCGTATTTTATACACAAACATATTCGACCACACCACATCATAAAATGGAAAACAACAATTATATGTGATCTAGCCGAAGAGTGACTATGAGTAGGGGGGACTGAGAATAATAAGCTGGCAGCAGATTAAGAGTAGTAAATAACATAAAAGTAACTAATTGGTCAAGGGAAATCCCATGATAAAAGGAATATATATATATATAATCTAGTTACTTTATAGTTATACAATAAGGGTATATACAATAACAATCCGTAAATTAATCCAGGCACTTACTATTCATCTAATCTTCGTCAGATATAATAATTACCTACACTCTTTTGAGCGGTCAGATTAATCTAGTAATCAATTATCATGATTCCATAGGTTCGTAGTTCTCATTTGTACAATTTAAATATGTAAACTTTAAAAATAGATAGCAGGATTTTTCGTACAGTTAAAAACATAATTTTTAGGAACTGTCGTCTAATCAAGAACATCATCTGGGATGTGTGAATCAAAAAAGAACCAGAAGTCTGCCTTAATTTCAGTTTAGATGAGAATTGTCGATAGTTTACTTTTAAAGTTGACTAAAGACAAGTAGTTCGATGGTTAAGTTACTAGACTTAACTAGCACCTCAGAGGTTCGTACCGCACTCAACCTGCTTTGCTTCGGGCAACCGAATAGTCCTCATACAAACAGTATATGGGTCAAAGTCTACTACATAAGACTGTACTTGGTGAGTTGTAGCATGTTTAGGCGTCCATGAAAGTTGCCACTTGTCAACAAGATGTATCTAAAGTGTCAGGGGAGCTCATGCACCGTATGGAATTCTAACCTTTGTTACCCGATGTCACAATTACAAAAGATTACCATCACCGAGCTATTTGAATCGAGACTGATATCCATACCATAAATAAATTGATAGAGTTCAAGATAGATGGAGTAAGAGTATTAACTACCACTAAACCAGTAAAATTTGAGAAATCAAACATGTGAATAGATTGTAAACAATAAAACAATTAATTTTGCAAGGAATTACCTGGATTTTTTTCAATCAGCTTTTCCAAGTCAACTAATTTCTGATGTTCACCTAAAAAGTCAGCAGGAGTTCGTTTACGTACAGTCTGTTGTTCTTGATGTTGTTTTTGTTCTATAGTTAAAGATGTTTGTGCATTTTGAAAAGTGGACTGCTGTTGAAACTGCTGCGGAAATTGATCATTCATATTATTTGAAGTTCCATTCAAATCAAAATCAAAATGCCCATTGTTATTATTGAGATTGCTACCACTGTTGGTATGGTGATGATGGTTAGAAATAACTGACTCGGTGTTTGTATTACAAGTGGACGGTAATGTAGCACCTAAGGTTGATTCCAAATTCCACATTTCATCGGAATTACTCGTTGTAGAATGTGTTGGAATATTTGGTTGATCTATTGAAAATATAGATAGTTTAAAAATATTGCAACTCATTGACAACATACAGGTTTTTATTTAGTTGACTTTAAACCCCATTGTTCGTGCAACGGTCAGGGATACTATCCGGCCCAGACCAATTAAACTACTTGAAATATACTTCAAGGATCTAAAACTTTGAAACCTTTAACCACCGAACTGTTGGTTTCAACACAATATTAATTAACATAATATGATATTTTGCAGAATAGTAACGTTTTTCTGAACGATACTGACATTTATTTGAAAAGTGAAACAAAAGCTGAGTATTCGGTGATATAAATATGATACCTAGCTAAGAAAATAATCTATCTGTTAGAATTCCTAACGATTTACATCATTACAAAAAGTCCCATAAATAAAGTATATTTGAAGTGCGTCCAAAAATTGGAAGATTTCAACCAATTTCCTGCTTAAATACATCGGTAATCGAAGATACAATTTTATAGTAATGTCGGGTGTTCTTATGTAGGTGGCTTAATTATGAACCTCTCGTTGTCGTTCAGGACAAAATCACCATCAGTGGTTACCTGGAGATCAGAAAACTTTACCAAAAGCATCAAATCGAGCTACAAATGATCTCCGTGGCCACAGAGCCCAAGGGACAACTGCTTGAGGACGGTCGCGCACGGCCTTTTTGTGGAGGTTTTTAGTGTGTTAGCTCCGTTATCCACAGGGCCTTAACGCTGGAGACGGAAATCCGTGAGGTATGACATTTTTAGGGTCGACCTTTTCTAACCCCTTCCTTCCTTCCTTGTGAGAAGACAGCATCGCTGCAGATGCTGGTTGTCTGAAGGAAACACCTTACTGTTGTCACACCTCTATACAGTCAGCAGTACGATTTCGCCCTCAGACCTTGAGTTGCTGCCTTTAATCTTACCGTTCTCCAATCGACCTGCCTGGCATGGTAGAACCTACAGGAACATATGTTCCAGCCAATATAGCTCGGTCGGGTCATCACGATAGACAAGCCCCACCACCGCGTCAAGGTAGCAGCTATGGTCGGGCCTGACAACTGATACGAACACCTCAGGTAGAGTAAAAGCTTACGACTAGCTCTACTCACTATCGAATTCCAGCAGTGCTGTTATGGGGGGTTGTTCAGCCTCACCACTCCTTTTCAACTTTGCTACCTATGACATTCTGTAAATAGCTGTAATAAAAGTAGGTCGCGGTGGTGTAAATTTGTTGCTTGAAGAAAAACTTTCCGATCTTGAGTATAGGTATTGTCTTGTTTTAATTCCGATAAACTTCAACCTATGGAAATCACACTTAATGATTCAGCATTTAGTGTCCGTAAGTGTGACATGTACTTTGCATCTTAGTGCAGAGTGCGTCTGAAAGACTGGGTGTGTGTTTTTGGTCGATTAATTGATAAAAACAAGGAAGTTTACGTCAATGTGACCCATCTTTAGCGTCGTTGTGATGCTAGTCTGGATGTAAAATGTCGCGTCTGTTGCAAGTCAGCGAGACCAGTCCTTCCCTACTCTTACGAAGTCTGGCCTTTCTAAGCTGAGCAAGCACAGAACTCAGTAGCAACATGTGTTAATTATACTGAAATTAGACTATATGTGTTTGCAAATAGTACTGATGGCTCAGTTGTTGCCAGCATCTTAAAACACCGGCTTTGGTGGCTTGGACTTGTGTTACAAATGTAACCCCAGGAAATTCCTTATTGTTCAACAATTGCCAACCATAAGATGATGTAGAAAGAGCGAAGAGTTGGTCGTTTTACGATATGGTGCTGTGGTATGAGAAGCCGTACAGGACTGGCATCTGTCAGTCCATCACGACTCCCTGGTTAGGGTCTTAGGATTGGTGCAGCTCAGTGGTTTGAAACATTGTCAGACATGGATCAAAATAAAAACCAATGGAGATCATTGCGGTAGTTTGCTTTTGAATTCTTGATAAAAGATTGAAGGAACTCTCTTTGCTTGTGTTTCCGGCTGGATTGCACCATCATATACTAGTCTCATTCACTTTTATTATTTGATTTGTTTCTGACTATACCCCTTAATCTTCATAATGTGACCGACCTCAAGGAGTTGTCCCTTGGGCACTGCGGTCACGCTCTTTGTGACTGAAGTACAGCAGCATTTCTCCCGTATCTAGCCTTTTCTGTTGAGCTTGGGTCCAATGGGTTTCGCTGACTCCGAGCACCATCAAGTCGTATCCCTCATTTCCGTTGCTGTTTGACTGGTTCTCCCAGTCTCCCACATTGTCTGGACATCCCATGTACCTATAAAAATTGTTGCTCTGGTTGTTAGAAGGGGCATCGGCCTCGTGGCTTCTGAAGAATCTCAGCTTGCACCATGAGGCGTCATAATTCTTCCTTCAACTCCCAGGGTAGAGTTTAAATTATTTATTCTGCTTAGCGTTTTTTAACAAGGTTTTTTTTCTACGGGACGGGGTTGCCAACCCCCTCCTTTTCCCGAACTTGGGACCGGCGATAGCGTTAGGAGAGCTACAGGCGCAGTTCGTGGCGTGCAATTGAGTAATGCACACTGGATATCTTTGACCTTGATGTGGATCGATAAACTGGTAGATATTCAGTGAATCAGGTAGCGCTCACAGACATTTCACTGACCCTACAACTCCATATCATCCATCAATTTCGTAATTATCCTGAGTATTGGATCAACACTGATGTAGTGTTTCAAATAGCAAATTGATAGTAAATTTGGTTAGTGGGAGTGATAAAGTTCCAATCATTAGATTTTCACGTAAACTACATCCCGTTTTTGGTTTACTATAAATTCATCTCTCTGATAATGCTATTATTCCACCATATGGTCCAGTAATTTACCATAGAAAAGGTTTTAACAAGCAATTAGACTATAAAAACTAAAGTCTGTGAGTGAAGTAACGCTATTGCTTATTTATGACGATTTCTATGAATACCATGATAGCACTTAAAGTGCACTAACATCAAGTGGTGACCTGTAACGTACGCCCTTTTTCCAGAAGCAACTAATCTTTATTTGAATCAGTCTCCTGTCCTCACTCTATGGAGTAGGAATTACGGAGGTTTGTATTTCCATGAATAAGCAGTACGACTGATACTTGATAATGCTAGGTACTATAAATTGTAATAATCCCACAGTTGAGTACCACTTCGAAATCCTGAACACCAGACATCTTCGTCGCAGTTCAGATTTTATCAATAGTATACATTTACTACACATGTAATCGCTACTACTGCTTAATCTTGAGAGTATTAAGTTAGCTTATTCAAGTTCGTATTCTTAGTTTCCGCCAACTGATTAGTTAACTTTAAGATTGTATATTATCGTTCGTGGTCTTGAGTCGAGGATCTTTCACATCAGTAAAACTATCATTTTGGCCAGTTCAGTAATTCTAATGTCTTATCAAACTATCCGATAACACCATGATATCATTGAACATGAATAACGGAGCCGCTTCAAAATTACTTCGGTTGAAGATGAAGATCCAATTCATACAATATGCATAGAATTACATGTTGACCAATACCTTTTTTATTACTTCGGTCGCTAAAAAACTACGGACATCTGAAATTACTGACGAAAGCCTACATTTCTCTCTTTTTTTGTTATCGTATTTATGTTGAGAACCGAGTTTATTTCTAAGAACTTCCGTTTAAATTTGATTGAATAATTTCACAGTATTTGGGCGCCAAGTTAATGTGAGACATTAAAGAGAAAGGTATTTTTAAAATCTCAGAGAAAGAATCTGAAGTAATTCCAAATTCAAATCCTTTCTCTGAGATTTTACAAATACATTCTTCCTCTTTAGAGTTTATTTTTATGCTTAATTATGCTAATAAGGTAAATGGCATAAAATGAAAAGTGACAGGTGAACTGAATCAATTTGCAAAATAATTAAGTAGTATTTTGTGGTAAGAAACTATTTCATTGAAAATGAAAACCTGTCGATAAGTGGTATTATTGTACAGAATACATTCATCTGCGTGTTTGAAAATAAAGATGATGGGAGTGAATTATTTATCTTGTGATTATTTATTTAGTATGCTTACCAAAAGTGTATTTATCAGACAATTGTTTTATGACAAAATTTTTAATCTCGTCGTGATTGTAAACCATTTTTGAACTAATTTATGATTCCACAAACAATATTCTGTCTGGTTAGGATGGGACATTGGTGGCTCCAGAAGTAATTCGATTATATATCGGACTAGTCAAAACAGTCATACTTCGAAGTATTCGAGTACAAACCGACCAAAAAGTTAGTTCTCATAGTTTCACCAGTCCGAAAACTGTCACTAATCGTACAGAGAAGCTTGAAACATGCATGGCCAAGAAAATCCTGTTCAACCTTCTTATCTCATAAGGCTTTTTAAGAATTTTAGATCACCTTTCTAGGGTTACTGCCCGTTTCAAGCCTGGATAAAGGGTTGTACATACGGTCAGCAACCTCATCCCGTAGTAAACAAAACGAATCCATCTAAACCCTCCTTTGGGAATTGGAGGATCTTCATTTAGGAGAATTATAACGCCTTACGGTGAATGCCTAGATCCTTCGGAAGTCAGGAGACCAATGATTCTTCTGGTAACCTGATCAACAATTAATATAGGTACATAGAATGTTCAGAAAATGTGGGAGACTTGGAGGACCAGTCAAATAACCGCGGAAATGAGGATACCACGTGGAGGTTTTCGGAATAAGTCAAACCCATTGGACCCAAGCTGGACAGAAAATAATAGACTTGGCACCTTAGTGATCCATAATTTTTGAGTCGTCTCACTATACGTCCATAAAGTTAGCCGATGGCTATTAGTACCTAATAGATATTAGTTTTAGAATTAAATGTTTGCACAAACTAGTTAACAATCGAACGATTATGATTATTATTAAACATCAGTAGTAACATGTAGGTATGCGTGGAACAGGTATAATTGCATCCGTAATCACAAATATATATGGTAGGTAATAACAAGCAAATCACTGTTGATCGATAAAGAAATAAAGTACAAGTATTTTTTCCACACAATGTGCACAGTCAAACAGAAAATAGTTTGACTGCGTTTAATTGTAAAAGGATTAGTAAGGATGTAAACAATGATAGTAAAGAAATCAGATGAAATTATTGATCAGTCAATAAATCAATACATGATTATCAATATTAGTAGTTGTTGTTGTGACACAAATAATTAACATTTTGATTTAGAAAAAGAACGCAGAAACAAGAATGAGAATTCAAGTGAAAATATCAGTAGAGGAAATAATAGTACAAATAAACATAGAGTGAACTGCTATATATATATATATATATATATATTGGTAATTGAATGGCATTTCACAATTTTATTTAACATTCAACTGGTGGTTCAGTAACATTCGTAGAATTACTTGTCTTTGAATGAACTTATTCTTTCCGAAAAAATACGATGTACATTACTATCACTAAATGAATTATGTTTCTTTTTTAATATATGTAAGCGTGTTATACTGATATCAAGGAGGGGGCTGTGTCGGCAAAATGTATCTCAATAGGAGGAGAATTATTCTTTTTCACAAGAAAAGATAAGGAGAATAATTTATTTCATAATAGCTTGATAACACTGATAGTAGTAGGTGTTGTAATAGGCTCAAAATAGTAACGACAACATCAGCAGTGTAATCGTTTTCAGAAGAAAAAACGGAATAAAACACATAAAAAACTTTGCATAAGCACAGTGATCCTAAATACGCAAGATTTAAATGTTGATGGTAGCCAATAATCACATACTGCAAATAGGAAGAGTTGAGAAATCCCTGATAGCTTAATTCTTGACAAGACAAAGAATATGTAGTAAACGCTATGAATCGATTGTCTTTAGAAGGGAGAAAGGCGAAGAAAATCAAAGCTAATAAGTGTAGAAAGATTGAGTGCAATAAGAATTGGTACTGTATATGTTGTACAGAACAGCACAACTGTCAAACGACAATGAAACTTTGGGGTTAGCATTTTAAAAGAAAAATGAAGGCAATAGAGATCAATGACTGTTTTCTTTTCTTAAAAAATCAACCCGAAAGAGACAATGAAGGAATAAACAACCAGTATTTGAACACAAACAAAAGTAGTAGTAGTTCCAGTGGTGATGCGATGGAAATGACAGTCACAGTTGCATAATCATGATTATCATCTTTAATAAAATGGATTTAAACTACTTGTTTGTTGTTGATGCATCATATTATTTCCAGAGCCATCAATAACGGACCATGCACTTGCAGTATTGATCGGCACCATATAATTGGGTTGTACTGTTGTGACCGAACCACTAACAGGATAATATGGTCGAACTTGATAGAACATTGGATTATTCATTGTGTTATGATAAATTGGACCTGACAGAGGTGCCGGTGCTGGTGCCAATTGATTCAGTGATGGTTTCAATGACTGATTAGGTATAAATGGATTACAAGCTGCACCAGTTACAGATTTCGAACCAACAGTGAATGGATTTGTAGAAGCTAATTGGGGAAGGAGAAAAAATATAATGCAAAGTAAAATTATGAATTTGACGACAATTGCAGCTTACAGCACCAAAGATTCGAAACGATCATGTTGGTTGATTAAAAGACGTATATAATATTTACTTTCAGTGCTACTTTCCTTGATCAGTTCGTGATAAACTGCCATGAGTTTTTCATGAAATATGTAGCGAATTTTCACACTGGCTGGCAATAGAATAACACCAAACTCGCAATAAGTGCTTTCTAAATGTTTAATCTTTGTCAGAAAACAACGTTAAACCTAATTCACAGTATTCACACTAACAATTTAAGCAAATACACATGATGCTATGAAGATAATGATGACCAATTATTTGTTAACATTTTCAAACCATTAAGTTTTCTATTGTATGATCAAGTAGGTTACACAATCCAAAATTTTGTACTGTTGTTGTTAAGCAGAACAGGAATCGTTGTACAAGACATTTGGAATAAGTAGATAAGAGTATACTAACTGCTTTGTATTCAATGTTGGGAGGAGAACCAAGATAAACCTGCTGAGATTAAAAAGCGTCTAAACATACGAGCATAAAAATGAAACAAACCAAGTAGTCCTAATCCATATAACCCAAGCAAACAAAGTAATCTGAAACTTAACACGCAAATCTTTTTCTGAAATACTATAAGGACTATTAGTCTCCGCATAGCCAAGGCTTCAATAAACCTTAGTATACACCCCTGAAGGCTTTTGTACAACACTACAAATGCTGACTTGTTATCAACTTTATGAACAGTCTCAACCAAATGTTTCGCAATGATAACTTTCGCCTTCTCATTGCACTATCAAAATTTACCAAAGGGACTGTTTTAAATTTCTGAAAAGACTCTACACAAGTTATTAGAAGGTTATATGAACGAGTTAACTTCAAGTGCACAATTAAATTGGAACGAGTGAAACTGCACTTCTATAAATCTTGTTTGTCAAATCACATGTTCCCGAACCAGCTACGTAAGATTCTTCTTTCAAGTAAATTACAACTAAATATTACAAATCTTATTCAACAGACGAAATCCTAAATGATAAGTTGGTCAATTTAATTGAACTGTAAACTCAAAGATTACCTGTATGAACAGAAATGTCTATAGTTTGCCATATCAAATTAGTTTTTGAAAAACCAGATTAATAATCCATAAAATTGGCTAGATTTAAGGCAAAATACATCATTTGGAAATTGTAATATATGAATCAGGAATTGTTTGTTATATAAAATAAAATCGTCAATGTTGGGGCTGACTAATATGAAGTGTTAACTTGAATCAGTTTATAAGCGAAATTGTGAGATAAATTATCAGAATAAATATGGTCGACATGGTGTAAGAGAGAGAGAGAGAATGTTGTGATTACAAATCGGAAATTGCGTAATATGTAAAATAATTAGGTCAAATATAGTAGATTCAGGGGTGGACATTGAATAGATTCCTCAAAAAGGGGTTATCAAATGTAAAGACAATAATAATAATAAGTTTGGGACATAAAATGAACATTAATCAGATTACGTCACCACATTATAAGGTTGATTATTAGCTAGTTGACCAGGGTAAAAGGAGTGGCTGAACATACTTCTTTTGGATACAAAGCTCTGGCTATTTGATCCGAATAGCAATTGCTTCAGCCGTCTGCAGGATTCGCAGTCTGACGGAATTAGGTAGACTGCTGTTGACACGATAGACTACTGCAAAAGACTGCTCCATGTTGGCTGTATGTCCTGTTTGGACTAAATGGTCTAAGATGGAGCTGTTAACAGTTTTGACAACACCTTTGCTTAACCACACGGGTAGGTGCTCACGAGCCCGAATGTACAAATTCCAAGAACATCTGCCAAGGTGTTGTCAGATCACTGAATATCTACCAGTTTATCGATCCACATCAAGGTCAAAGATATCCAGTGTGCATTACTCAATTGCACGCCACGAACTGCGCCTGTAGCTCTCCTAACGCTATCGCCGGTCCCAAGTTCGGGAAAAGGAGGGGGTTGGCAACCCCGTCCCGTAGAAAAAAAACCTTGTTAAAAAACGCTAAGCAGAATAAATAATTTAAACTCTACCCTGGGAGTTGAAGGAAGAATTATGACGCCTCATGGTGCAAGCTGAGATTCTTCAGAAGCCACGAGGCCGATGCCCCTTCTAACAACCAGAGCAACAATTTTTATAGGTACATGGGATGTCCAGACAATGTGGGAGACTGGGAGAACCAGTCAAACAGCAACGGAAATGAGGGGATACGACTTGATGGTGCTCGGAGTCAGCGAAACCCATTGGACCCAAGCTCAACAGAAAAGGCTAGATACGGGAGAAATGCTGCTGTACTTCAGTCACAAAGAGGAGAATGCTTTGCACACTCAGGGAGTTGCCCTGACGCTGTTCAAAGAAGCACGAAATGCACTTATAGGATGGGAATCTCACGGATCCAGGATCATCAAAGCATCCTTCAAAACAAAGGAGGAATCACAATGAATGTTATCCAATGTTACGCACCCACCAATGATAGCAACGGCGACGATGAAGATCAGTTCTACTCGAGGCTGCAATCGATCATAGTGGAATGCCCAAGAAAGGATCTCACCATCCTGATAGGAGACCTAAACGC